GTTTGATACTCACCCGTGCTTATTGATAGGGGGAGCTTTCGCTCTCTTATTCCTTTTGTCCCCTTTTTGATGTTGTCAAAGGGGGAGAAATATTGTGAGTATACGTATACATTTATATGCATGTGTATTATCTTATATATGTTCATTTCCTTCATGCATATACTTCGTTTTGTAAATTGTTTGTCATCATCAAAAAGGGGGAGATTGTTGGCCTTCTTGTTTTGATGATGTTTAACAAACAATTTACCACTAATGTTATTTGTCTAGTATTTGTGTTTTCTTATTTATTATAGACAAACAACGTGTTGAAGGATGGATGGATTGCGCTTCAACGATCATATCCAAAGGAGGTTGGCGGAATGTCGGTGAAGCCTATGCAATTTAAGTTAAAGATCAAGTTCAAGCTTCATCCGCAAATATATTAAGTCAAGCCTATTGAAGATTAAGATCAAGCTTTGGTATATTTAGTTTAGGTTTTATATTATGTGTGTTAGATACTCTAAGCTCAATATCATATACACACACGTATTTGGTTTCTATGCATATATATAGTTATATATATATACATACAAGTGTTTTAGATTTTGATGTTTACAAATATTGTATTCTCAGTTTATAGACTTAACAATCATCATATACATATTTTATCAAGTCTATATAATCATTGTGCAAAGTTTCAAAACATTGTTTATGTCAAAACATCAAACTTCATGTATATCACTTTTTCATGTTTTGAACACTTTTGCAAAATAATGATATTTCACAATTGGGAAATGCAAATTGGAAAATTCTTTTTGTAACATGTTCAAAATATCATTTTCAAACATTTCTCAAAGTTTCATCAAATTTGGAATTGATTTGTTATGTTTAAAGGAATTTACAAATTCACGTTTTTGTTCGTGCACATGTTCGTGCATGTTTTACAAAACTGATGGGTTTTCACAAATGAAAAGTGATATTTAAAAACTTCTTTCTCTGACATATTTACCTACATGTTTAGAAACTTTCCTCCAGTTTTTACTATTTTTGGAGTTGATTTACTGTACCTAATTGATTTTACAAAATCGTATATCACAGCAGATTTTTAGAAACTGTATTTCTGTGTTCAAACATTTATTTATCTCAACTGGGAAATTATTTTAAAGAAATTCTTTATCTAACATGTTTTTATACATGTCTAGAACCTTCCCTCAAAATTTCATAATTTTTGGAGCTGTTTTAATATTTTTAACTGATTTTATAAAATCAGATGTACCTGCTACAGTACCGCCGGTCGACCGATTTTTACGCCGGTCGACCGACGAACTGTCTGGAACTTTTTTCCGCTTCTTTCTTTGCTCGCGCGACCGATTTTTACGCCGGTCGACCGACGAACTGTCTGGAACTTTTTTCCGCTTCTTTCTTTGCTCGCGATCGACCGCGATTTTCCTCGGTCGACCGCTGCAGTTCCAACGGCTCTTTTTAGAGCCGTTGCAGAATGGTTTTTTGGTCTTTTTGTAAGAGGTTTTGGTCTGAGGTTTTGGAGGCTATAAAAACCCTCTTTGATCTCAGTTTTCAGTCAGCTAAGAAGTTTTTAACAAGGGTTTTAAAAAGAGTTTAAGAGTTTGTTTGAGTTTAGTTTGTGAAGCAAATTTCACAAGAGCAAAGAGGAGATCATCCTTTGGTGTTTGGGCATTCAACTCATCTCTCTCTCACTCTTGTCATTTATTGGAGAAGAGGATTCACTTGTAATACACTTGTACACCGAGAGAAGTGTGTGGTGAGAGACGGGGTCGAATCCAAGAGGAGTGGCGTCGGTTGACGTGCCTAGGGAGAGGTTGTAACCGAGCACTTGAGGAGGAGGACACGGGCTAGGACCAACACTTAGTGTGTGAGGTGTGATTGCATAGTGATTGTATTGTGAGGTGTAAACGTTGTTCGGGTGAACGTAGAAAACCCGGTTGTGATAGTGGAGATCTCCTCGAGGTGAGGAGCGGAGACGTAGGTCGTGGGGACCGAACTCCGTGATCATATTGTTTGTTTGTGATTGCATTGGCGCACTTACCTTTATGTTCATATCTTATATCGCCTTTGTATATTGCTTGTTGATTATATTGTCCACTATCTAGTTTAGATTGTTTACCCTTGAGTTTATATATCCTTGCTCATATTCTTATAATATCTCATTGATAGGATATATTCATTTGTTCATATAGCTTATCCTAGCTTACATATCTTGTTGTGTTTCATACTTGCTAGGATAACTTGTTAATTAGTTTTAATTGGCATTTAATCAGATTAGATTAGCATAATACCCTAATCACCCCCCTCTAGGGTCTAACACTTCCTCTTTGTTTAAAACTGGGTTCTTCACGGTGGCGATGGAGTGCCTCCCTCGAATGCTTGCGTTGAGTTTGTTCTCCGTTGACGATCCGCACGTCTTGATTCACTGGAACGATGTCTTCTCATCACGATTTGACGTTGTGGAGAACTTGTGTGGCAAGTTTTAGAACTCTGGATAAGTTGATAACTCTGCACGAGTTGGAAACTCTTGAAAAAGAGTTAAATTGAACCGAGAATCTGTTTTCAAGCCAAGGCCGAAGGCTCTCAGGACTGATCCCAAAAGATGAATGTCGATCTCTTCTGCTGCCAAGTCCCAGATCCGAAAAAATGCCAGCCTTCAGTGGTCGATCTGAGCCAAGAAATTCCAACCCTGAACTCAGTTGAGTTTACTCGCTTTTATAGGGGATTAAAGGGGTGTAACTACCCTCTAAATCTGCTCCTAAGTGGGCATGATTTTCTCAGATCGTGGGGAAAACGGTTCTGAAACCGTTCGACTCATATTTTTATGAGTCAAACGCCCAACCTGGCGTTCAGGACCCTAACCTCGCGTCTTAGATTGAGACGCGAGGTTGAGTGTTGACTGAACATCCAGAATGCGAGGGTCGCTCACATTTCGCTTGTTGTAACGCGGGTCCGACTCCAGCGTTTTGATGTTGTAACGCAGGTTTGACCCTGGCGTTTTGATGTTGTAACATGGGTTCGACCCTCGCGTTTTGATGTTGTAATGCAAGATCGACTCCAGCGTTTTGATGTTATAACGTGGGTTCGACCCTCGCGTTTTGATGTTGTAACGCGGGATCGACTCCAGCGTTTTGATGTTGTAACGTGGGTTCGATCCTCGCGTTTTGATGTTGTAACGCGGGATCGACCCCGGCGTTTTGATGTTGACACACGGGGAGGACCTCCGCGTCTTGTCTTGTCTTGAAGAGATTATCACAAAGTAATCTTTTTTGTCATAGCGTTACAAAGATCATTGTCTTGTAATCTTCGTCTTGGCTCCTTGAGAATATGAGAGTCGTCAGATTGTAACTCCCGATGTTGATTATGAATGCTGTTGAACTAGAGCTCTCATCGGTTGTCGTGAAGGTCGTCAGATTGTAACCTTCAGCGATCTACGTGAAAGTCTTCAAATTGTAGCCTTATGGAAGTCGTCAGATTGTAACTTCCATCATCGGTATTTGATGGGGGATAAGCTATCTATTGTGATTTTTAGATAGCCTACACTTTTCATCACAACTAATTCATCCACCACTTGATCTATTTTCTGATTTACTAAATTATACATCTCTCTACACGTAGAGCCTTCTATAGCCAGTTTAATGATTTTTTTGCACAAACTATTAAACATTAGAGTCTTTTTGAAGGAATCCGATGGTGTTGTGCTAAGCTCGAGCGCATATCAATACTGCCCTCCTTTGCTAATTTTGTCCATCTCTTTAAAAAATATTGAGAGGGTATTTCAAAGATAGCAAGGTGCAGTAGCATCTTAAGCACAGGCGAGCACATCATCCCACTGAATTCAAGCATTTTACAATTACAAGACAATGTCGACATAGGGGCTTAAACAGCAGAAACCATGTAAGTTCTCCCCCTAGCACTTGGTTTGTCCGGATTTGGAATTTGCACTAATTTGTACAATGATTTATGATCCACTTCATGCAGAGAAAAAGAAAATGTCTATATAGAATTTTGTGTGTGTGTGTGTGCGCGCACACACACACACAATTGTGTTCAGCACAGATGAGTCAGCTTTGTAAAATGCAGGCTCTTGTGATGGGGTTGTCGTGATAGGAGATGGTCGTTCGTCTGTGTTGACAGGAGCTTTTCATTTTTGTATTGGAACGAAGTTTGGGCAAACCTAATGGCTCTTAAGAAAGGCCTACTTTTACGTAGAAATCATGGTATATATTGATGCTATAGACGTTGATTTTGATTCTCAAATATTGGTTGATATCTCGGGAAACAGACCTCCTAAGGCTATGGAAACGCAGAAGTATGTGGTCGGACGTTACTGACCTCTTAGCCGAGTCGCACTTTTTCATTTATCATTTTTTTTTTTGAAACAAATCATGGGGCAGATAGACTGGCAGGTTACGGTTGGAGAAATGGAGTTGGTATTTTTCATGATGAGATAAACCTACCTCCAGATGGATGTTTAAGGTTGCTTTCGGATGGATCATGGGTTCTTCGTCACGTCAGAAAAAAGAGTCGAGGTTGCTCAGCATTAGTTTTTCTTTTTTATTAGAAATTTCTTAGTTTTATCGATTCCAACCTATGCTATCGGATGGAGTTAGTTATATAGTGTGTGTGTACAATAATTTTGAATTTAATGCAAGGAAGAAGGGATTTTCTGATCAATTTATTTCTCATCTTACTACTGATTGAAATTTATCACTTCTTCTTAAGTGCTCATCTTGAGGGCTTCCCAAGTGGTAAAAGATCGGTCTATCCAAAATCAGGGCTTTTATTAATGCAGAGCAGTGCCAAGAACGTCAGAGCATGAACTCAAAAACAGTGAAAATGACAGAGAGGCAAAAGAAGAAAATGACAGAGAATGGAAACTTAAGGGGGGTTCGGACTAACTGTACTCTGTTGACGTATGAAGCAATAGTTGGTAACTTTCACTTGATAAACTTGAAGCAATAGTTGTTAACTACATAAAATTTGAAGCCAAAGGAAACTGAACCCCAAGCCATTCAAAATCGAACCTAAAGCCGATCAATTTCTCAGAGACCAACACTCTTCTGAGTCCTGTACCTGTAACTCCTAGCCCAAAACAAGTAGTTCAAAAGGTTAAAAAAGCTCAGCACAGCTAGCAAAAGATAAAACAGATTCAGATGGTTCCTGTTCAAATTATTCCCATTAAGCCAACCTCCACTCTTAGTATTCCCTTTAGTAGCCAAATTCACCAAATCCACCAATATCGAGCTCACGAAATACCCAAGCCCCATCGACAGCCACAGAAACGAAGTCGCCACAGACTTCAACTCCTTCGGCGCTTCAGAGTGAAAAAACTCAAGCAAACCGACAAAAGTGAACATGTCAGCGATGCCGAATATAAAGAACTGGAAAGACAGCCAAAATGCACTCATGGGTATTTGTTGTAGTTCTGGTATAGCATCAATCATCCCGTTCCGTTCTGCTGCCTTTTTCCGTTGCACTTCAACGACTGCAGCCACTGTCATAGAGATACAAGATAAAACCAATCCAACGCCGACACGCTGGAGATGAGTGATGCCTGTGGAATGACCTGTGAATTTCCGTAGGATTGGTACAATCAGACGATCATAAATTGGGACGATGATTAGTAGGAAGAGCAACGGGATTATTATTAATGAAGCGGATGGGATTTTGAAGGAGCCTATGTGGCGATCCATTGTGACGCCTTGTTGGATGCTGAAGGTCTGAAGTTGAGCAAGGCAAGTGCTCATTATGATGGCACTGCCGAAGATTGGGATCATTGCGAGGATTGTCTTTGCTTTTTCTACTTGAGTCACGGTGCACAGCTTCCACCCGTTAGGGTCTTCGTCTTGTGTTGTTGTTCTAATTGCTGCTTTATCAAGGAATCTGTGAATGATTGAGGATAAAAGAAAGAGAGAGTTAGATAAAGAGTGTAGGATTCCAAATTATGGAAATTTGCGGTTAGATTACAGATTTCCTCTCCTGTAACGGAAACGAGTTTATTTTTTGTGTAGGTCCTTAACGTTTTCAGTAGGCGGGTATCCATACTGTAAATTATCACTTGAGTTGAGCCAAACTTACATTTCATTAATGATCTACGATAATTTACGTGTTAAAAAAAATATCCAACTTTTAAGGCCACAAAATCCCTAGTGGCTATGTTTCGTTTAAGGATACTAAGATTTATAAATTTGATATCTAGTTTAGGGACATTTCGGTTCACTTTTCACTTTACCAATAGGAAAGTTTCAGTTATAAAATATTTATGTTCTACGTATGCTCACAGAAGTCAGTAGTAATATTGAAAATAAATGTTCGGTTGATGGATCAAACCTGTACATATCTCTGTGGGGCATAAATTCCACATCTACAGCAGACTCCTTGTCTTGGCTGATCTCATATAGTTCTTCAGGATTAGTAGGAACCTGAAGCTTTCGGTTTCTGATGGATGCAACATAAACCTGCAATGCAAGAAACTAACGGTGAAGCTAGATCCAACTCCTAGTGATTATGACAAAAAGGTAAAAAAAAAAAATTCTCTTATTCTTCATATGTTAGAAGTCAACCGGAAGTTGATCAAAGACCCTGATGATCGATGTAGTAGGTAGGTCATTACTATGGAAATTCATGAAAATAATGTAGTGCAGGACATATTTCCAGAACCACAATCATGGAAAAGGGAAATTCTTTCCTCTGTTGTACCTGGATGATTTCTGTCAAAGGACTGGCTCCTCCAATTACGTGTATCCGGTACCTAGGAACACCGGCAACAAAGACAATTACACCCAATAAAATCCCAATAGTGCACACTCCATACCCCCAATCAAATCCTGATTTATCCTGAATCCACACAACAAACGTCACACTGAATGCTGCTCCAACGCAAGCACTGAGCAAAATCCAGTTGAAGAAACTCGACATGCTCAGAACTTCCTCAGGGTCATTTTCGTCAAATTGATCAGCTCCATGGGACGGGACCCCAGCCTTTACTCCTGCCATACCCACCGCTATCAAATACAAAGCGGTGTACATAAGCACGGCATTGCCTCCGACAATTTTCTCGCAAGTAGGACTGAACAAAATGCAGCCAGGAGGCTTAAGCGATGGTAAGTGAGCTTGTACAGTCAGTAACACGAGCCCCTGATCAAAGTTCCTTCAGTAAGTAACACGCTATAAGAAATGACAGAAACATGGAGAAGTATTAAAAAAAAAAGGGGACTGTTTAGTATGTACCAGGAACTCTATGATAGCGGACATTAGAGCGATCTTGTATCTGCCCATGACAGTGTCTGCGATGTAAGAGAGAAACACCGAGAGGATATAACTGGTGCCCATAAAATTGGTCACCTCGTTCGATGCTCTAGCGATGTCAAAGTGCATTACGCCGATGAAGTATGTGACCAAGCTGACAGCTAATGAGGTGGTGGCAAAACTGTCGAATCCAAACAATCCTGACATAGATGAGATAAACGGTGTTGGCCTAATTAATGGTATACTTCCATAACCTCGGTCATATTTCAGACTTTTTACTCTTTCTACATTAAAGCCGTTTAGGAGATTTTTCAATAGTTCCAAGCATATTTAATAGAAATTTGATAGTTCGGGGTGTTTCTCTACTTTATAAAGTCATGGTGGATTTATTGCAATCCTGACACGTATGCTCACAGCATTGACATTACTAACCCAATACCAACAGTGATGATCTGAAACCCCCATGGACTCCCTTTCTTGCTGCTCTCCCCTTCCAATCCACCTTCCCCTCTAAAATCTCTCCTTTCTCCTCCTGCAAACAAGCAACAACGTAACCTTTCAAGCATAAGTAAAAGGAAAAAAAAATAAGGAGTTAATTTAGACGATTCAATGTCCAAACGAAATTGTGTCTCCGTTATTTGTACCTATACTATACGGGGTATACATTAATGGATGCGTATAGCGGAGAGAGAACTTCATTCTTGTACCGGGGATTTTTAATAGCCAATAATAAAAGTTTAGGGGTCACAAATTAAGCATAAAAGGTTATATATGCAATTAGCTAAAAATAAGACTTGTTACAAATTCTAAATTATTTTACCATATTTTTTGAGCTTTGAAGGGGGAAATGAAGAAGATGCTTAACTGTGGCCTGAGTAATGCGGAGGGATTAAGTGATGAAACATGATTATATATGCCAGTAGTGCCACATGCATTTTGCCGACCCAAACAAAAGGTATTTCAAAATTGGCTAAAATATGAACAAAAGAGACAACTCAATATATAGAGGATTCTCAATTCTCATAAAGAAGGAAAATTTCTATAAGGGATTTGCTTCATTGCTGTCACAAAAACAACAAAAGTAAAAGACAATAATATCACTATTAAGTGAAAAATCAAAGACTGATTGTTATGACTATAAGGGAGCAACGGTAGAGCTATAATTTGGCCATATTTTATGCAATTATTAGGTATAGAAAAATAATACTACTTCGTTTGGATTTTTTGATTTGGAGGTTGATGATGAATTTTGGTGAAGGGTATAGAGAAGGTTTAGGTTTAATATACTCTGGTAAACTGTATACAAACCCTGTAGCTATTCTCTGTAATGACAGTGTGACACAACCTATCTTGGATTTGGAATTTCAAATTTAGATTTTTTTTTTAGGTTTAAATTCTGGAATGTAGAAGGTTAGAGGACCTGTATTGTTTGACCAAAAAATAAATAGAAAAAACTAAAAATAAGTAAACTTTTTTTTACGATAACTCCATACTTTTGGATAAGTTGCAAAAGACACGCGTACTTGGAGCTTCCAGAACATTCTGCAAATAACCATAGAATTAACTTTCTCACGAAGAATTAAGCACAAGTCTAAGTCTCATTCGAAAATAATTGGAACCATCTTTTATATCATTTTGTTAAATAAATTATCAAAAAGTGAAAATAAATGAAAACCACTCACATCTGATTTCACCCCCAAAAAATAAAAAATAAAAAATAAAACAGCTTGTTGATCTTCTAATACCTCACTTAACAAAACAAACAAAACAAGTCGTCAGCTATTATCCCAAAACTAAAGTTTCCATACATTTTTCTAAGGTCTTGATATTTGATGTCGTACATATACCTAGAAAACTACAAAGGGGTAGAATCCATAGCCTCAACACTTGGAATCTCCACAAGAGACTAATTCCAACATTCTTTTCCTTTTGCTCAATAAAATTCCTACAGGCTACAGAAGAGAAAACTATCCAAAGAGAACCTGACATTGTATAAGCCTATGCTAGAAAATGAAGCTAATGTCAGTATCAAAAGAAACAATTATCAAAATAAACAAAGAAAGTGGGCAGTATTAGCTAGTTAATTTTCTGCTGTCCTATAGTCTGCAAGTTACAAGTTAAGCTGTGCAGTGCAATCAGAAAGAACAACCAAAAGCAGGCAAAAGAAAAAGCCTCATACTTGAAACAAAAATGCAGGGTTTCCACAAAAAATATGATAAATTGAAATGTATACTCCATGTTTACAGCCGTTCACATACATTACAACATATTTTTACAACATATTTTGATCGCCCTCAAACTCACTGACAAGATTTGTAGAACAATAATTCTCTGAAGAAATTCTGGGAATACTTCAATTGATTTTTTTTTACCTTTTCAATCTTGCTTTCTGTCGTTGAATGCTGCTGCAACACTGTCTAACAACAGCAGAAACTCTCCTTCAGACCTTTAAAAAAGCTGAAAAAGAAAAGAACTCACAAAATCAGCAAAGTGGCATAAGTTTTCATTTCAATGCAAGTGATTAATGTACCAAGAGTTCTAATAAAAACCTCCTTAGCCTAAAAACTAAAAACCTCCTTCATCCATTGGATCTAGATGAATCCAATGGCTAGGATTCAGTCAAACAGTCAACAGACACATGCATTAATTACCTCATTAATTACCTCAATGCAGTGAATCCAGATTCACTACCTCAACGTATCTCGAATCACTGCAGTGAATCCAAATTTACTGCAGTGAATCCAGATTCACTGCGTTGATGTAATTAATGCATGTGTTTAATGAGGTAATTAATGCATGTGTATGTTGACTGTTTGACTGAATCCTAGCCATTAGATGAAGGAGGTTTTTAGTTTTTAGGCTAAAGAGGTTTTTATTAGAACCTCTCCCTAAATATATATATATATATATATATATATATGGCATCATTCCTTCCTTTATTTGAGAATGATTACAAAAAACACAATGGTAGAAACTCATGTTCTACATAAAGAAAGATAACTGGCATTGCCTTTAAAATCTTTTCCTTTCTTCGTGAAACCTGTGTTACACATTTGCAAGTACTAGATAAGCCATTATTCAAGTAATTGGAGGAAGAAACATTTATCTACTTGATTATACCTTGTCTCTTTAGGGTACGATACTTATCTTCTGAATAGACAATTTAGCTTATATTCAAACCGTGAAACATTGCTAATTCAGCTTCCAAATGCATAAAAATCCAGATCGGTTTGGCATAAGAGGAATTAGGCTCATGGAAAAGTGCAGTAATGACAAGTTACATAAGGATAAAAACAGTTGTAGTTTCAACTATTTGTCACATTAACTTTAGTATTCCTTGCAATTGCAATTGCACATGCAAAAAGACATTAGTTATTGCGAAAAACGATTCGTGATAGATAAACAAGATCTCGACCTTCTCTTTCACGAGCTTCCCAACTTAGTTCGTTTAGTCATAGGTTCGCAGGTCAACAAATTGGTAATATTCCCCTCTCTGAGGGCCAATTACCCACCGTTCAGAAGAATCTTAAGGCAGGCTACAAAACAAAGTATCTGAGAAAGGTTGAAATACAGAGATAAAGCATGTGAAAGTTTAAAAACAGAGATACCATGTGAAATGTTAAAAACTGAGATAACATATGAAAGCATGTAATATTCCCCTCTCTGTAGCCTGCTCATGCTTTGTTAAAATTACCAGTCCCATGGCTTACCTCTAGGAAGGCATAGGTGTAAACTTTTGAATCTACTGTAAACTAAAAGAACTAAAGCAAAACATAAAAATGTAAACACCATCTTGAATTCCACATCAATTTTAAGAGATAATAGAACTGTATTACACTGGAGATTGGAATATTTATAAGTTGTGCTACGTCTTTATTTAAGCTTGATAAACCATAAAATCCATTTTATGTGTTTGAGAAAAAGATAAGACTCTAATAGATCAACTAATAACCACTACACTGTTGTATCTTAGCAGAGTATCGACTATGCATTTCATAGGGAGAACAAATTCGTGAAACACAATGCGAGAAAATGATTAGGTATACAGAGGAAAGACAAACCTTCAAGATGATATGATGTTCATTTTTATCATTTTTCTGAAAATATAACTGGACATGGTTGCAAAATACTAATTATACTTCAACAGTATCATGTGTGGAGTCATATGGAAAGAAATTGCAAAGTATAATCAACATAGAACATAGGAATATTTAAACATGCAACAAAGAAAAAGTGGAGTATGGAAATAAAATTATCATGGGCATTGCCTATCTAGAACACTGGACAACCATGAAATCTTTTTGTGTGCTATGTTACACAACACTTTTTGGCCCTAACGGAAGACTGCAAAACCAAAATAATCAAATGTGAAAATCTTTATAACCAAAGCACAAAGGAA